GCCCTGTTAGTCTGTATTCGCAAAAAGAAAAGGAGTACTTGTGGCACCTTAGAGACTAACCAATTTATTTGAGCATGAGCTTTCGTGAGCTACAGCTCACTTCATCGGGGTGGGAGGAGGTATTGTTTCATATTCTCTGTGTGTATATAAAGTCTGCTGCAGTTTCCACGGTATGCATCCGATGAAGTGAGCTGTAGCTCACGAAAGCTCATGCTCAAATAAATTGGTTAGTCTCTAAGGTGCCACAAGTCCTCCTTTTCTTTTTGTCATGGTAATGTCACAGTACTAGAGAGCATCCCCTCATGGTATTAGCTTGCCTGCTACTTGCAGCAGTAGTGGACTCCTACAGTGTAGCTGTTTCATGCTGCTGCTTCTATCTGTTTTCTCCACTTTACCCACCCCCTATAGAAAACATCACCTTTGCTTTTACAAATGATGTGCAAAACAGAGCAAGCAAAATATAGCATAGGTGATGTAGTCAGTAATAATACTGCAACTGCTCTTCAGCTTTGTGCATTCCCAAGATGAGATGATTATTAAGGAAAAACCCTCTCCCTGTGGATGTGAGGGTGAGGTTTCATAACCCACAGAATTGAGGAGATAAGCTTCGTCATAGAGAATCACTGTGGAGATAGTGTCTGTCATGTGGGGAGAACAGTATTCAAGCCAAAGAGGACAGTTCATGTCTTATGTACTTTTCAAGACCATCCTATGGAAACTGTCCTCTGAACCACCAGGGCTTTCATCAAAATGGTGTGTAGTATCCTTTTTTGGTTGATATACTCTGTTTCTGTGGGTGGAAAGAAAATGAGCAGGTAAATTCCACCTGTTGCAGTGCTAGTGGTAGGAAGCCCTGCCAGAGATTAAATGATCTTTTGTTTTTCCCAAGGGATCTCTGTGTGTTCAGCACATCTCTGCAGGATGCTATTCCTTGCACACCTCAGCAATAGTGACTGTTGCAATGGACTTGCCAAGACCAAACAAGTGTGCATGTGAGTCATTATCAGCATTTCTGGCCAGCTTCCATCAAGCAATACTTACACGCATGACTGTAGAGATAAGAACTCTCCTTGGGATGTTGTGAGAGCATGTTGTGAGAGCATTCACTTGGCTGACAGTTGGGCAGCATTCTATGGGTTACCTATTTTACTTTGTCCTGTCTAAATGTCCTGTTAGTTTAACAATAAATATGTTGCATACTAGGCTCTTCAGTGAGTTCTTTGCCTAGAGAACTATAGCTGTAACACTGGCCTTTAAGGTTGGGGTGTTAAGCAACAGAAAAAAATTGGATGATATCCAGGGTTGCAAGAGGGAAATGAATCTCCCTTCCCAAGTAAGAGATCTCACAGTGACAACATATCAGATGAATAACTTTCTTTGGTTATAGAAATAGGCTATCAATATCTATAATTTATATATGTACAATCAAGCCACCTTGTAGGGCACCCAATCCTGTTAGCAGAATGCCGCAGGCATCAGTAGAAATCCCATGATTGCAAGCTTGGGCCTATATCTAATAATTAAAGCAACAGCCTAACACTCTTTTCAGTGACAGAATCACTATAGAATCATTCCATATGGTTACATGATAAAATCAGAACTGTCACATGTCTCACGCATGGCGCAAGAGCCATGCATGCCCATTCATCCACTGTCCATACTGAATGTCATGCATTTGGCTATGAGGCAGGAATGGCTTGCAGTTGCAGTCTCGCAGTCTACTGAGCTGCAGTCCAGTTGCCTCTTTCTCATTACTTCATTTGTTAGATTTGAGCTGCAAAAGAACAGCACCACAAATGGTGGCAGGGACAGAAGATAGTGGAGGACCTCTACTGGCCTCAGGCTACCTCATTCAGCAATAAGCCATCCCCCACCGATATTGCCATTTATCTAGCCCTTAGAAACCCTCCAGTTCCTACAACATTTCCCTATTCACTTTCTCCATGACATTCATGATTTCATAGACTTCCTTCATAAGCCCCTCTTCATAATCTCTTTTCCAAGCTGTGATGCTTCTGAGGGAAATCTTTGTAAAGCTCAGAATTTCGTTGAGCAATACCAAATATACTGTGAAATCACTGACAGTGGCCTTCTGCCAACTTCTAGCAATGGGAGAGGAGGCCCAAACTCAAACTTCCCTTAGGCCAACAACTGTCAAGAAGAAAGAATGCTTTAAAATCATCATTACATCATGACACTTTTTTCCATAGAGGTTTTTTTATATTATCTTTTTACTTCAAGAACAGATTTTACAATCAGACAATTAATACGAAAATTAATCAAAGGAAAATGCATGATATATTAGTGGGTGCTGATTCCTGAAAAACTTATGGTCAAATTCATCCTGAATGTAACAGCATGGACTTCACTGGAATTATATCTGGGAGGAATTTAGCCCATAGTCAGTAATACACACTAACGGGTCACACACTTTGTCGCTTCCATAAACTGAGCACGTAACACACAGCAGGACTCCTTGCATTTCTCCTTTTCCCTCACAAGCGCCATGTGTGCTACCCTCCCATCTTACTCTGTTTCAGAGACTCCCTGCAAGCTCCCCCCTCATACTCTCCCCCCGTGTCTCCCCATGCCAGGTTCACCCCTTCTTTCCCATCATACCGGGTGGGACACAGAGTCCCTATCTACCCCTTTCTCCTTCCCTCCCATACCCTCACATTCTACCCCTGCCAGGGACTGTGCACTGTGCGCCACTTCCCCCTATGTCAGAGTCCTCCATTCTCCCTCACTGCCAGAATCTGTGTGACTCCCCATTCCTCCTACTCCCCATCATTCTTATTTCTTCCCTTTCTGCTTGGGAGAAAGGTCATTCACACTTTAAACTCTATTGAGAGGATAGGCAGAGCTGAAATGGGGTGGTGGTAAAGTTGTTTAATGGTTGTTATCAACTGGTTCTTTCATCTATAGATAGTTACAAACCTGTTTGAAGCTGCTGGGTCTACTAGCTAGATGCTAGGGGCTCTGCACTTTCCCCATTTCCCCTTCCAGTTTTCTGACTTTCACTGAAATCAATGGGGTTCTATGCATTGACACCTAGAACATTCCCTGAAATTTTGAAATTGAATAGATGTGACATTCAAAAGCTACTGCATTACATCCAACCAGCCAGAGAAATGTCATCAGGTTGAGTATAGGTCCTTGGTTTGCTCAGCCAACGATGGGCCAAATTAAATTATGACTTTGAGAACAGTTGTGATTGGGTCAGAAAATGGGTGGAAATAGTAACTATACAAACATAACTTAGAAATTGCTATACTGGATCAGGCAGTGGCCAGTTTAGTCCAGTGTCTTGTCTCTGACAGCAGCCAGTACCAAACACTTCAGCAGAAGATGTCCTGACCAGGTATTCATGGAATTTCCTGCCTTTTGGGCAAATTTCTTTCTAATCAGTTAGAAGCTGGCTTTTATCATAAAGTTTAAAGATTTATAGCCCACATTTCGTAACTTCAAATGTTCTCCTCATCCATTCAAACATCCAATCCATTTTTTAATCCAGCTAAGCTCTTGGCCTCAAGGTTTTCTAATGGAAGAGAGTTGCACAGGCTAACTGCATTGTGGAAAAGTTAGGACTCATCAGGCATGAACCGAACAGGTCCTCCATATTCCTTTGTACTAATCAGGTAGATGTCCTCAGTTGGTAGCCATTGCATACTGCTATCTGATTTCAATTTTGAGGGCATGTCACAGCCCTACATTACCAGTTTATCTGGTGTATGATCATGAGTGAATCTCCATTTTTTCCCCCCTCTCAGGTGAAGGGTAAGAGCAGGAGAATGAAAGAAGCCGAAAACTTGCTCCTTTGGTCTAACACTTTGTTAGAGGGAATGGTTTCAGCCAACACAGGACCACAAACATGCCAAATACTATGGAAACCTCTAGACAGGATCTCTTGTGCAGCTGGGGCTCTGTGGTTTTGGACAGATGGGCAGGGAGCCAGGCAAGGGGACTGCTGCTCTCTGTAGTATCATTCCCTTTCAAATCTGTAGTAATTTTTTTGCAAAAGACAATTCTGACAGTCAGTATTACCTTACTTTACATAGATTTCTACTTGCAGGAGGTGGCTTGAGCCTGTAATACCTTTGCCAGTGTCTTTCATTCCTGAGGCTTAATACATATCCACAATAGTGTTTTGCAACTTTTCTTCTCCAGCATAGGCAAATGGCAGGGCACAAAGGGAGTGCAAGGAATCCTTGTGAAAAGAGGCCTCCTTTCTTGATTTATCCAAAGAAGCACCTGGCTGTACATGTGCAGAAAGAGAACAAGCCCTAGATTATAGGTAAAGGCTCATTTTTCCAGTGCTTTTACAAACCTGCCAACTTTCAGGAGAAGCAGAGATGAATGAGGCAGTGCGATTTAGGAGCTAGAGCAGGGCTTGGGAACAGAGAAGCTGGGGCCTCTGCCTAGCTGGCCAGTGAATGTGGGGCCCCGTGTCTTACTCATTTGTCCACTTCAGGCAGGGGTGGAGGGAGGCAAAGGGCCTGATTCTGCAACCCGCACTGGAGTGAGTAAAGAGACTCGCACGATCGGGCCCTTTATGAGTTTGGGGGGCGGGGGGCGTGAAGGGCGGGGAGCTGCAGCGAAGTGCGGGACCAAGCGCAGCGCTGGGTGGCCGGAGCTGGTTGGTTTCCACCGTGAGCTGGGCGCACGGGGGAGGGGGGGGGTCTGTTTGCCTCTGTTTCCCGGGGGCCCCTCCTGCTCCCTTTGCCTGTCAGGGACTTTTTGGAGTGTTTCACTGAGCCCTGGAACGACTCCCCGCTGTCCTGGCTCCTGGACGGTCGCCGCCGCTGGGAGCAGCCCCCAGCCCTGCGCCTCGTTCCCTGCGCTGCCGCGCGGCAGGGGCCGCTCCCTCCCTGCTGCTCCGTGGGGCGGCGGCGGGGAAGCCGGGACGCAGCCCCAGCGCTCGGAGCCCCGCTCGCCTGCTTCGGCCGGGGGGGCGGAGGGGAGCGGGCGGGAGGTGGAGACGGAGGAGGGGTGAGGCTTGAGGGGCCGGTCCCGGGAAGTGCTACGTGTCTCCCAAGTCTTTATAGCGCCTTGCCCCCAGCGCCAGTCCTTGGAGCGCAGCCTGCCTCGTCCCCCGCCGCCAGCGAGCAGCGCCCGGCCGAGCGCCAGCAACATGTCCGAGAGCAGGAAGCCGAGGACGGTAGGAGGCTCGCCTAGCGCCCGCCCGCTCTGGAGCCAGCGTGCGCTCTACACCCCGGGGGACGCGGAGCCTTCGCTGCCGCCCGGTCGCTCGCAGCCTCTCCCGGCGTCGCGCTGGGTCCCGCCCTCCCCGCGCGGCTGCCGGGCACCGCGCTCGGCGTTCCCGGCTGCGCCCTGGGAGCCCGACCCGCTGCGAGCGCGGGGCTGGCTGCAGGGACCCTCCCCGAGCAGACCTGCCCGCCGCCCAGAGGGATGTCTGGTCACCGGGCAGCAGGGGGACAGTCTGGTTGGGCCGGGACCTTGCTGTGAGGGGGCTTGTTATGCGCGTGGGGATTGTGACATTCCCGCCGCTCGCAGAGCAGGAGCGAGTCACCACCTCCGCTCAGCTCCCCGCGGAGGAGGGGGTTGGCCGAGCGTCTACACTGGCGCGTCTACACTGAAGCGTTTGAAAGGAGCAGCTAGGAGGAGTTAGGGGGTTCAGAGCTGTGGGATTCTCCTCTGCCCCGTCTGCATGGTTAACTTGGGGCTGGCTCCTAACTTGAGTCTGGCAGGCAGCCATCCGGCAAACGGGCTCTAGTCAATTTACTGCCCAACTCTGCCCCTGTTGGACACCTGAGCCCAGGAAGCTGGTGGTGGGGGCAGGGGTGCGGGAACAATTTGTACAGTGGGGAGGCTGCCGAGAGCCATTTCACCGAACTGCAAACCCTGTGTATTATGGAAACCACTTCAAGCCGGAGGGTGCTGCAGGACCCCTAGTTCCAGCACCTGTGCTTGAAGACCGGTGTGCCATGGCAGAACTGAAGGTGTGCTTTGCCTCCTCTGGCCAAAGACACTTGTTACAATTTAGGCCACAGATTTTGTGGTCCTTAAAGTCAATAGAAACGCGTCATATGCTTTTGTGTTTTATTTTCACTATCTCCTCACATGATTTTCTTTTACATTTGAATCATGTCTCTGTTAGACCAGAGTTGCAAACTTTCTACTTTTAGTTTTAGCATTTGGCCCTCAACTTTTTTGCATGTAGGAGATGACTAGAGGAAAAAACAATTACAAAGCTTTATTCTCTTGTATGCCTTGGATATTTACCAGTGTAATTTAAAAATGTAGCCTCTCTCAAGATAGGTGGGAGTATTCAAGGATACATTCATGCAGATATTAAAGCTACAGTGGAATCTGTTAATGCCAATAAAAGAACAGCTATTTTTCTAGCTATTGTAGCAATTTGATCTGCAATTAATAAGAAGAAATCCCTGTTGGGAGTGCCTAGTGGCCAATGTTAGCAGTTGATGATTAGCACAGTTTCCTCTATATTGGTTTTTAAAACTATACCACTTTAATTATGAGTGATTCCATAAAATATATCTTAACCTTGCTTAATTATTCTCTATTTATGTTGTTTTGGACAAATTCCACCTAGCTCATTATACACACTTCTCATTTAGTCAAACCCCTGAAGTTTCCCAGCCCATCTCAAAGCACAACTATCTTTTATAATACATTCACTAATTAATTCTCAGAAGACCTTTATATTCTGCAGAAGGAGTAGAGCAATCCAGATGACCTGCGCCATGGCTGTTATTCCCCAGGCTAGAAGGGAGTACGTTGGGGGTAGCATACTTTACTCTTGAATGCAACTTAAGTTATCACTTTCAGTCCTGCTTAGCTTGAAAAATAGGAGCTCATCATAGGACTTTGAAGCTGTGAGAATGTATGGAAAAACTGGAGGGATAATAATAAAAGCACTTCTAACCTTCAGAGCTCCATATGAACATTAACCAGTCTTCATAACACTTGTGTGGTAGGTAATCAAGTATTATCCACACTTTACAGAGTAGGGAAAACGGAACAAAGTTAAATGACGTGCCTGATATTACACAGTGAGTCAATAGCAGAGATGGGATTAGAACCCAGGAGTCTGGGACTATATTACTCTGCTATCATACTGCCTTTCTGCAAATCTTCAATGCTTCTGCAAGGTCACCGACACAAAACTTCTCCCTTTCTACATTCTTCCAGAATTGTAGAAAGGAAAAACAAATGTAAACCAACTATAAAATGATAAATTAATCTACAGTACAGTACACTTGGGCAGAGGCCGGTTCTGTGAAATGATTATCCAACTGCAGTTCTGCCATGATATTTGATACCCTGATTACAATACAGCCAAGAGGGTAAGGATTTGAAAGAAGTGATCTTTCTTAAAATTGATCATCGAAGAAAACTTTTGTATCTCATTGACTTCCACTGTAACATCAATGATGTCTACATCCTTACTAGAAAAGGGTAAGGCAGTCTGACAACTCTTGGGGTTGTTGGCATTGGAGTCAATAAAGCTACACTGATTTATACTAGCCAGGCCCTGTGCTTACAATAAATTGTAATAATTTGTGTGCTAGCATTGGACACAACAATAAGGAAAAGCAAGGATGCCTTACTAGTGAAAATGATGATCAAGGACAGCAATTTAAAAATAGAAAGGAAAAAAGAAAATGAATGTTCCCTGCTTTTAATCTATGGGCTCTTTATATGATTATGAACCTGAGTCTGAGAAATGTTGGGCAGCCACAGCTCCTTCTAAAATCATTCGGGAGTTGCATTTCTGTTTGCCAGGTCACAGTAGTAGAAGGATGGAAGAGAGACTTGGTTTGAAAGAACCTAAAAGCAAGGCAATTCTGTATATTTTATATATGGAAATAATAATATATGTGTGCATATATATCTCTATCTATTTATATATATATAGGATATATATATATATATGGAAAGAAGTAAGAGTAGTGTATAGCTATCTATAATCTAGTCAATTATTCTGAACACACATTGAGAATGCAACAGTGGTACAGCAGAGGGAGTTTAGAATGTTTGATTAAATAATCCCAAGAAGTTCACATACAAAAACTAGATGTACACTGTCAAATAGGTGCTCTCAGTAGTTCCAAGACCGTTGCTAAGGAACGATGTTAGCATAATTTCTGGTCCTATTGTGTAAGCACTCCAGGCACTAAATGTAAATGTAGAAATTTAGGCACAAAGAATGCAGACCACAAAGCTCATGAAAGCTTATGCTCAAATAAATTGGTTAGTCTCTAAGGTGCCACAAGTACTCCTTTTCTACTTACAGGAAGGAGAACTCTATCCTGGGAAGCAGTGACTCTGAAAAAGTTTTTGTGGGGGTTATGATGGATAATCAACTGAACATGAACTCCCAATGTGACACTGAGGCCAAAAGAGCTAATGGAGTCCTGGAATGCATAAGTAGGAGTAGAGAGGTTATTTTACCTCTGTATTTGGAACTGGTCTGACTGCTGCTAGAATATTGTGTCCGGTTCTGGTGTCCACAATTCAGGAAGGATGTTGATGAAATGGAGAAGAGCCATGAGAATGATTAAAGGATTAGAAAATATGCCTTATAGTGATAGACTCCAGGAGCTCAGGTTAAGGGTTGACTTGATCACAGTCTGTAAGCATCTACAGGGGTAACAAATATTTCAGTCCAAGATATAACACAATCCAGTGGTTGGAATTGAAGCTAGACAAACACAGATGGGAAATAAGGTGTACATTTTTGATGTTGAGGGTCATTAATCAGTGGGACAATTTACTGAGGACTGTGGTGGATTCTCCATCACTGACCATTTTTAAATCAAGATTCTATGTTTTTGTAAAAGATATGCTCCATGAATTATTTTGGGGAAATTCTGTGACCTGTGCTATACAGGAAGTCAAACTGGATGATCACAATGGTCCCTTCTGGCCTTGGAATCTATGAATCACTGATGCAGGATCAGGCCCTCAGATTTATGTTCTAGGAGCAGGGACCTTGCCATTCATTCATCTGTAGAATGCCAAGAGCATAGATGGAAAAATACAAATAAATAAGTCGATGTGTGTTTTGACTACGTGAAATGTGCTGATAATCTCAGTCTACAGTGGATAACTGTCTAGGTTACAAGACCCACAACCATAACTAGCACTAATTGCCAGCAAAGCTGTCAGTCTCTGAGGAAAGGCCAAGGACTGAATTATCAAGGAGACTGAACTGCTGTCTCAAACCTGAGGTAGCCTTTTCAGAATAGGATTGAGCCATATTGACAAGGTAAGTTGGTGAAGCATTCACTGTCATCTGGCAACTTTCAACATGGTAATAAAACCATATTTTAAAAAACAAAACAAAACTGTGAACTAAATAAATAATGGATGAAATTCACAGTACAAATGTAATGGATTCTGCCTGTTCCTAGAGAAGGGCAACAAAGATGTGACAAGATTATGACTATCAACAGTGGTACTATAAGGAGGGCTTTGGGATGTATGGCCACTGGGAGGCATTCATGGATAGAGGACAGTTCTCTCGGGATGGACTTCATCTGAGTAGGGAATGAAATAGACTTCTAGGACTGAGGCTGGCACAACTGATTAAGAAAGCTTTAAACTAGGAATCTGGGGGAGATGGCTGGGAGATGTCCAGGTAATCTCCATGCCGGATTTTAGCATTGAGAGAGAAGAAAACGAAGTAAGAAAGGATACAGCCGTGGGTAGGAGAATGGATATAAGGAGGAAGGTCAGTGTGGATACCAGTTTAATAGGTTATACTGGCTGTAGAATGACTGTGCCTAATCGGGAACAGAATGTGAGTGAGGCCAAACAGCAAAAATTAAGATGTTTGTACACGAATGCGAGGAGCCTAGGTAACAAAATGGAGGAACTAGAGCTACTGTTGCAGGAAGTGAAATTAGATATTATAGGGATAACAGAAACATGGTGGAATAGTAGTCATGACTGGACTACGGGTATTGAAGGGTATGTGCTGTTTAGGAAAGCCAGAAGTAAAGGTGGTGGAGTAGCATTGTATATCAATGATGAGGTAGAATGTAAAGAAATAAGAAGCAATGGAATGGATAAGACAGAGTCCGTCTGGGCAAAAATTAAATTGGGGAAGAAAACTACTAGAGCCTCCCCTGGCATAGTGCTTGGGGTGTGCTATAGACCGCCGGGATCTAA